GCCACGGGCTTCGCTGCAAGTTTTTAACACATCTCTCAGTCCATTATGAAGCACAGCTTTTCTCTGATGGTGTAGCAAAAGTAGAGACACTACAAGAGCTTGTCAGAACCGTAGGCATCATTTTCTGGCTTCTTAACTTTCATGACTTTCACATGTCTTGTGCTGCTTTCAAAGGAATATAATCTTTTTCAGACGAATGGCCTAACAAATGGTGCCGTTAGTAATGGATTTGGCAGTACAGACGAAGAAGTTCCAAAGTTCCGGCAAGAAGTTGGTAATTTATAGGGATTTGTTGAGAAGAATCTTCGTATACATGGGCAATCTTATGCGAAGTTGTTTGCAGAAACTGAAGCTTACTGATCTTTCAAAGACTGCCGCATACGATCCTTCACAAGAGCTCATCTTCCCACCTGAATTGAAGGTGGGTTTGACTTGAGTTTTCTGATTACGGTTCGATCGGTTCAGCTTTGAAGTACTGGAAAAATGATTCGATGAACGGTACACTTCGAAACAGTCAAAAGCAAAGTACTTAATTCGCCTAATTGTGACCTACTCGGTTGTTTTTGTATAGCCACATCGCTCAGCCTCTACTCTTGGCTCTTGTCAAAGGCCTATCAAGGTTTCCACCCAAGAGATCGTGAAAAAAAGTAATTTGCAACTCTACCTCAGTAGTTTTCTCCTCCTCACTTACACCAGGGTGAATAACGGTCGAGGAATTCCTCGACCATGGCTCTCTACTGTGCGAGAGTAGTGTCGAGAGTGAATGTACGCGCGGAGAGCACAGACGGCTCGCGGGTGGCGAGAGTGACTGAACGGTTAAACATCCTCGACGCGCCGTTGAGAAATCCTCGAGCGATTTTCACACTGCATACACCTCCTTACATCGTAGCTGGCTTCAGCGTAAATAGCCTTAGAATCCACTATTTGACTCGCCAAATCTCTGTGATATTTCATATTGAAGTTCACTGCATTGATGGATAATTCCGGTAATTCCCATTGGATAAAAATCCGCAAGGTTTTTTTATAACTTTGGCTTCTTGTCAAGATCGATTCGCTACTAGCGATCGCGCGATTCGCAAAGTCTGACATCGGCCTAACGATGTACCCAGCGGCTCGACAGTATTCGAGAGTGGCGAAAGTTCCTATCGGCCGCACTCTCGCCACTTTCCCGGAGTGTCAAGTCGCTGGTACATTATTCGAATCGCTGTTCGTTCGCTGGTGCCTCGCTCGTACCGCGCGATTCGCTAGCGCAGAGTTTGTCACCGGCCTAACATAAGGCTATTTGTAG